GTGCAGGGAAAAGCACACTGCTTAGGGGGAAATAAACGAGTAGTCATATTCCCTCTCCTGTGCTTTATCATGAACTCCATCAAACTCTGTGTAATGTAGTGTATCTTTCAAAAGGACATAAAGACCGTGACACACACACTTTAATTAGCTCCTCCTAGCTAGCTCTCATTATGTCATTTGTCATTGTTTCAAACAAAAAATCTAGAACTGTAATATATTTTGTCTGGCTATAAGCTTTCCATTTGATGGCTGTGTGTTTGCACTTATGTGAGCACAAACAATTTGGTTTTTTCGAAGAAGGATGTGTTTTCTTTTGGTGAGACTCATGCCCCATTTACACGGGGACGGAAACGAAAATGAACCGGATTCGATATCAAAAAAGTATTCCGTTCACACGCAAACAGCTCAATAAACGTGTCCGTCCACACGAGACCGCTCGACCCGCTGGATACGCTGTAATACATATGCCGGGCCTGTAAGTGGTGCTGTACTTCCGCCACAAAATACACCAAAAGCAGCGAAGAAGACCTCCCAAGCATGGTTGCCTGGTTGCCCTTCTGTTTTTTTCGCCGGTCAACATGTCCGTTAAAGTTTAAATCTTCCGGACTAAATTAGAAAAGTGCCGGTCAAAGGTCTTCTTTGTTATTTATTGAGCTTTAAAACAAATTGATAACGACTCTATATAATAATATAAGAATAATAAACGGAGCCTCTCTTTTCTTCCCCCTCTTCTGACAGCCCTTCAGTATCCATCTCATGGAGCTGGCTGATCCAGTAATGAGTGACCCGACAGTAAAAATAAACATATTTATAACTAGTTTAGGTAGTTTGAGAGGTAATTAAAATAGCTAAGGGTGATGATCTAACTTGAAGTGTGTGTTTTGCTCCGCTCACCACTCCATCACAGCGGGCGGAGCTGCAGGTGATCATGCAGAGCTGCGTGTCTCCGTCAGCAGCAGCTGATCTCTGATCTCTCTCTCCTGTCCGATTAGACTTCACTCGCGTTTATGTCCATATCGATCAAATCTAGCTGGAGGCTCCTGCTGAGTGCACTGTCCTGCGAGATACCGGGACCTGGCTCGAAAACACTCGGTTGTTGTTGTTGGCAAAACACATCAGCAATGCCGTGGGTGACACGGGGGTGAGCAGGAGAGGCGGGGCTATGGCATATAGGGCGTACCCACGGAGCCGTTTGACCCCCCAAAGCATGCCGTCCGCAGATCTATCCACCATGGGACCCGTTATCGTTTGAGGGGTCCGTTTCCGCAGTTCCGTTACGGCCTCGTGTGAACGAACCGTCTATACGTAGCAGATACAACCCAAACCGTAAACGAGGCCTCAACCAATGTTCTTGTCACAGTGACCTTTCATTTTGCCTGTCAGCCATGGGATACAGATTAATAAAAGCAGTGGTAACACATTTTGTGTTTGAATCACCATTCTCACTTTTCCTCACAAAGTTTAAGTACTCATTGCATAGTAGCTGCCAAGAGTGAAAAGTGATCTCTTCTTAGCTAACTAACTATGGTAAGTTAGGTAACTTTTTCTACATGCACCGAGCCATTCTCAACACTGTTACGATAAATGACCAAACACTCAACAGATAAGTGTAAGCATTCAAACTGGAATTACTCAGACATCTCATATTCCATGTATAAGATATTAAGTCTGGATTGCCTTCTTAAATAAGAGGGCCCTGTGGTGTAGCATTTTAACATCTTCCACTTCACTTTTGGCTTGCACCATCTGTCCAATCTCAGACACGCTTTATTTTGGTGTGAGCGGGTTTCAAATAATATTACCAGCACCATCATCATTTCTATCCTCTTTCCTGCAAGTATTATAAATGAGTTGGTAGAGTTCAGTCAGTGTCTTTTTGCCTAACTGCTGGCAGGATACAGCCATCTGAACCTCAACGAGATGAAATTAAAATGTATTATTTGTGTACTTTATGTACGTTTGCGTTCTTGTGAGTCCATGTCAGCGTAAGAATTGGATTCAAGGGCCCTTTGGGGAAGCAGCTTTTGCATAATTCTGATAGGCCAATTAGTGCAGAATGATAGATGATGAGCTCTATGGGCAGACAGGGTCGTAACAGTGGGGAGAGAGAAAGCACTCTGTCCTGAATCTCAAATCTGTTCGGCTATGTCCTCCCTCAAAGTTACACACAGCTCAGTCACATACTAATAATTCCTTGATCAAAGTCTACTTTTGGCACGTCTGTTTTCATGTCTTGATCTGATAGATCTTTTATCAAGTTGTGGAGAAGCCTTTTAGTTATTTGTTGTCGTTTTGTTTGTCTATTGGATTAAGGTAGGAAATGTTGGCGTTTACTGAGTCTTAATTAATATGAAAATCAAAGTATAACTTGAACATTTATATTCAGCTATTTACTTTGACACACAGCAAAATCGTATATTATAATTAATCGGGTTTACGATAGGATTTTTGAGAGTAACATTCAGTTTGTATCACTATTTCTCCCTGCAAGGAAAGAAATGTACATTTTCTTTTCCACTATTTATTTGCGATTAAAGGTCAACCCCTTTTGTAGAATGTTGTCACAAAGGCATTTACTCTCTATAGTCATTATGTTCACAGATTTTAAAGTAGATGAAACAAGAAAATGCCACCACTTATTTCCACTGCTTAAGTGCCCCACTAAAACCATGTGTGACATGACATTTGTGAAACATAAGAACCGTCAACTGATGAGTAGTGATAACAGACGGCAGCTCCAAACATAAAGCATGCCTCCATCGAATGACAGACATAAAAAGACATCAACACAGACAAGCAATCTTCAAAAGTTGGCAGAATTCCAAGCAAGAAATTCTGAAATATTTTAACAAAACAGTGCCTGGCTTCTTTGACAGGTAGGATCGCTCTTATTCCGTCTCATTAGCCTGTGTGCATTTCTTCTTTCTCCAAAGCCATCTGTCAGAGTGCAGGCTTGTTTGTGTGTGTGTGAAGCATCTGTCGTCAAAGTGACAGATAAAAAGGTCAGTATTGTATGAAAGGCACATCACTTCTCTTGGAAAAATCCTGTTTAAACAGTCATTTTGATGCGATTCAAAATTGGAAAAAATTGGAAAAATAATGTAAGGATTCTGTTTGAATTTTTATTAAACGCTGCTGCTGATGTCAACTTGAATATCAGCGGTGCGCCATGCATGCAACAGTGAGCTGTTTTGGCTCTTTCAGTGATAAACAATCTACCGCAGCACTCAGAGGTAAAGCATGAAGCATCTTGAAGTATATGTAGTATAATATATCAAAAAGTAACTTGGTAACATGTTTTGAAGAATAGGAGCAGGGCCCAATGCACTACTGAAAAGATGCAGGATTGATGTGAGATGAGGGATTTCTTCACTGACTACCTCTTTTTTGTGCCAGTCGAGTAATAACCAGGGCATACAACTAGGCCAGTGCTGTCACTATACTGAACACTATTGGAGATCATTTTTATTTCATTTGTTTTCAGTCAATGTTGCATATCATCTACACAAAGTCTTATCTAATCTTGGCACTAATCTGCACTGATCCAAGCCAAACAGTCCTACAATCAAGCTGGCAGTTGGTGGACATGATCTCGTATTATAATGACTGTTATTGGATTTTCTGTTGAAATTAGTTTTTCATTTTCTTATTGTCTGTCTCTCTTCTCTGCTCTTTTCTTCTTCTTTACAGTCCTTTACAGTTTTCTCCTCCTCTTTCTCCTTTATTCTGTCCCATGAGTTACAACCGCAACCAGGATTGAAACAATGTAGTTGTCCAGCCTCTGCAACTCTGTAAAGCCCAGGAAGTGATTGAAGAGAGAAAAGTGTTCCTAAATGACAGAGACTGGGTTATAGAGCAATGTTCTGTTGAACTTGTTTATCTGATTGAAATTAAAATTATCTATGTTTTTCTGGATATTGTGGATACAATTAATGACATAAATTGTCTGCAGACCTCATTTGCATTTCTTGATTGTTTTCAGTGCGTATTCTGTATTCCGCATGAAGTAAAATGAAGATGAGAGATGGGCATTGTCATTTATGTCAGCATGTTGTCACTGGAATTGTGAGAAGGTTCTGCCCCCAGGAAGTTGGGAAGATAATTGCAAACATCTGTCTCTCTATATAAATTGTAGTGTGCATGCAGTCTAGTATGGAACTGTTCATTTGTGAATATGTATCTCCGATCTACCCTGTTGGTTTCAATCGTTGTCATGGCTTAGTTTTATCTATGAGGGATTATTTGCACCTGTATGTTGTCTGTGTTAGTCTGTATCTGCTTGTGTGGGAGGCATAGCTATGTGAACGCACACATTCCCACATTGCCTTTTTCCTTTTTGTCTTTCCTTTCCCAATGCCCTTCTCTCATCAGATCGCCTGTTAAATATCCATCCGGATGCTAAAAGAGCCTCTGTACGCCTGTCTATCTGTGTGTCGGTAGTTCTCCTCCAAACCAAAATGAACGACCCAGTTAAATAATAAGCTGAAGGCTAACAGAGGGATCCCATCAACCTCTGAGCTGTATCCTCTCTGAAGCCATCAATCCTGGGACTAAAGCTAGGCTGCATAATGACATTGTGGCAGTGTACTCGCGCTGTGCTGCAAAACATATTAATGTTAGCCATAATGAGTTTGACAGCCCAATATGGTTGTCAAGGATCAGAGGGGATTTTAAACTGGCAAACACTGCCCTCAAATGGACAAGAAGAGCTATAGCATCTGCAGTAAACTGCAGTGTTGTCAGGTTGTATGCAGTTGACGTGGGGAAATGCTTTACATCCTCCATGATTGTTTTGAATCGTTTTGAATCTATAATCATTCAAATGACCCTCAGAAACCATAAATGATAATACACAATAACGATCAGTACTCTTGTCAGCGTGTCTGGCTTGTTGCATTCATGCATCTACAAATTCATTCATGTATTCTTCCTTGTCAGAATGTGCTTTTCCTGTACATTGATCTATGCTTACATGGCTGTTTCTCTCGCCCATATCCTAGAGTCTTGGAGCTCCAGCAGAACGGTGACATGGATATACTGAAACTCAAGTGGTGGCCCAGGGACAGCCCCTGTGATCTCTACAGTTCAATCCAGACACGACAACAGGGGAATGCCCTGGACATCCACAGCTTTGCGGGGGTGTTCTGCGTCCTGGCAGCCGGTGTGGTGCTCTCCTGCCTCATTGCCATGGTGGAAAGCTGGTGGTCACGGAGGAAGGGATCCAGGGTCCCCTCCAAGGAGGTAGGGGGATGGATGGGTGACTGAAAGTAGGAACAATGGTACCATGAGATAGGGCCTATAATACAACCCAGGTCTTATGTTTTAAAAGGGAGAAGAAGCAGTATAATTGGTAGAAAAAGGGAAAGGAGGGATAAAAAGTAAGAGTGATGATAATGATTGCATGGATGAGGGGTTTAGTTTCAGGCCTTAAGGTGCAAGGAGAAGGGTGTAAATGACTTAATAAAGAGTCTAGACTCTGTCGCGAGGGATTCTAAGTTAAAAAAAAGTACATTTATCAGCCAATGTGCATGAGAAAGGGAGATAGGAGTAAAGTCTGCCTTGTGAAGGACATGCGACGCTGAACCTTAGAAAACCTCTCATGTTTACAATGTCACTTCCCCTGAACTACATTTGCACGCAGGCTACATCAGCAACACCATGCTGAAAGCACAGGCTGGAGCTGTATTTGTTGTTAGGTTTTTCCCTCTCTGTCAAAAATAATCCTGAAGGTGCTATATTAGATCTGCAGTGATATAACCGCCATTGATCTTATGCGTAGACTTGTATACATTTGTGTATGTAGGAGTGGAAGGAAAGGTCCAATAGGACTTCAATGTTTTTAGAAGCCATGAGAACTTTATATCCATTTCTCCTTCCTACCCACAATACTGATCATGATAGCACTGTCAGCTTGACAGCATCCTTTCTCTATTAATTCTGATAGGTAAAGTTGCCATCAAATTATCTTACTGATTAGCCAAAGAGACATCCTCTGCCAAAGGCTAACTTATCTGAAGATGGTGTTCATGTTTCACTCATGTCCTTCTAACATCCTTGATGTAAGTACTCACATTCATGCTGCCAAAAGTAGTGTTTAACGCTCAATATGATGTACGAATACAGGCCCTGGTTGACATATCCATGATACAGATATAGATATATGTCTTTACGTTCACTTCAAATATTCCGTTCTATTATACAAAATTCTAACCCTGAAAATGATGCAGTCCAAATAGTATTTTTTCCAAGTATTTTCTCTTTTGACCCTATTATGTAGTCTCTATTCCGCTGCTGCTTACTCTCACCTCTTTTTCAGAATTATATGATTGATGCTATTTGGTTGGTGTCTATTAATTTAAAATGAGACAAATGTGTCAGTGTCAACAGGGTAATCAACCTTATTTTCGTGAAAAGAAAATGTTTTTCAGAAAGAATGATACTGGCAACGTTACGAGGGCCTGTTTGAATGCTGCTGCGTACCTTGACCAAGGCAGAGTCAAAAACACTGACACACAGATTTAAACATGGATATTTATACAGGCGTTCTGCTCAAAATAGTGGCAACACTCCACCTTGTGAATTAGCAGTAGCGCCCTGTGAAATTTCCAATCAGCCTATATGCATTTGATCAGCTCAGCAAGAATATCATTTAAGGCAATCAAAGTGACGCTGGCAACATCTTCCCCTGGTAGAGAGCCTGCAGTCTGTTGTCATTTGCTATCTTTATTTGCTCTTACATAGACAATACAGGGGAAATATTCAAATAAAAAACAATTGACAGCATGTGTAGTCGAATTTCTAATAATGGATTGTAATTCAGTATATGACTAGCCATTGGTGCAACTTGACATTTCAGTAGCTGTTTAATCCTCATAGGGATTTGACCAGAAATTGTATCAGCTTCTAATTCATCTTTCAACGCCGACCCACATTGTCACCTCTCATGCCTACTGCTTTGTTTACCACAACACAACATGGAGAAAATGTTCAAGTAAATAACTTTAATCAAAACTGTGAAATTGCAGGAAAGTGTAGCAAATGTGGTATACAAAACATGACACTGATGAAGTGAAAGAAATGTAATTATGTGTGAAATAATATTTTCACTTTTTGTTCAGAGTTAATTATTTATGTGTTGGTAAGAAATTACACTGAGGCATGAAGCAGCACAGATTAATTTAAGCGGGAAATGTTTTTGCCATCAGGTAAATTACTTCAGCTTTAAACAATTGCTTTTTCCCCTCTGAGGAAGCCATTTGATAAAAGCAGGTTAAGGTTAACTTATGAATAATGATTTTCCGGAATTAATGTTGCATGGTTTCCTTAGCTTTCATTCAACTCCCAGTCCTTACAGACTAAATCAAATCACGGTTATTTAGAAATGAGCTGTTTGAATGGTGTTCTGTATTATATTGCTAATGTTGCCTACAGTTACCAAAATGGGCTGTAAAGGACGGGGAAAGACGACCATTACAGTACATTAGCTATTAGCCGTGGAGAAGAGAGAGAGAGAACAACCTGGTAACAAAAGCATGCTGAGTTGATTAGAGTTGAGTGGAGCTGAACCATGCAGTGGAAATCAGGCTTGAGTGAACATCTCTCAGACACAAATAAGAGAAGCCTGGCCCATCTCCTTAATCGGTGGTGTCATGCTAATTTAAAGTTCCACCAAAGATAATTAGAAAAGAGGAGAAAATTATGAAAATTAAAATGGTTGCTATAGTCAGAGTGATTTAGTGTCAGATGAGGTTACTTTAATTATAAAAGAATGATCTGCAAATATAGAGGGAGCGTTTAAACATGATAACTCCATAAACATGTTATTGAATGAGAAAACAATCAAACCAAATTATTAAATGAGCAGCTACGGGTTGAAAATGTGTTGTACACATTATTCAATTTTACATCACTACAGTTTCTCGCTTTTGGAGACATCTTCACTCACAAGTCGTCATGGATGTGATGTGGGGTTGGGGTGACCTCCTTTGACGTAAAATACAGAAAAACACTACAAAGAAAATTGAAAATGGATTTTCGTAGCAGGAAAATAAGTAGTTTGTCAGTGTGTGTCACCAGATGTAATCACTGGAGTGTCACAGTTTTCTCTGACTAACAGCCTGTACGTTTCGCACAGCTTTGTTTACTTACTGCAGTCTAATACAAGACATGCAATTGCTTGCAACTTTTAAACAGTGACAAATCATTTGTTGTATTTATTAAATGTGCCTTGGGCTGTGGTATACATTGATTTATTTAATTGTGTAATTTTAGTTACACTCCAAGTTGTGTCCTCTTCCCCTCTGGAAATGAATCAGTGAGGCTAAGACTAGCTGTGCTATGTTGTAGGAGAATTGGTGCACTTTTGTGAATACAGAAGCAGGAGCTATAAAGCTGCAGGCAGACTCATCTATCTGAGTCAATTTGTTATGTGCAAGTTCCCCATGCATCTGGCATGATGTGCCGTTAAACTGGCTACAAACTGCAGTGAAGATAGAGCCACACAACAGCAGGTTGATTGCTGTTCGGTCTGCTTAAGCTTAATTTGGTTTCTTATATATTGCTGCCATGATTTAATCCTCTAATTACTTTGGTAAACCAAGTTGCATGTATTTAATAATTACTATGCATGCTACCGCCCACCATACTGAGATACAGAAGTAGGTGAGGAAAACAGATATCCGCCTGTAGAAGAAACACAGTTATCAAATTAATCTCAATCTCAATTTAAATTGGTCTGTTAAACTAGTTTGGCCACGTGGGATTGTCTGTAACCTTTCCTAAAGTCCAAAATGTTGCCGCATAGCCGACTGGCAATATCATTTTGATTTAGATCAGGCAACAGTATGTTTTTCTTCTGTGCACACAGCGACAGACACACCATTTAGGCCCCCCTTCCTCCGGCCCCCTGCTCAGCTACCAGCTTTAATCTGTCGTTAGATCACTGGTCATGTCCAACAACTGAGCACCCACAAAGACACCAAACCTTTGGCTGAGCACAAAGTCATGTTAGGCACAGTGTGGTTCAGCTGCAACACACACAAACACACACGCCCCCCGCCATCTTTATTAGCCGCTGAAGGCAGCGAGTGGAATCGGCCCCTGACTGAGCACAGCAGTGATGAGGAGGGACAGCAGGGATTTAACCGCTGATAGTCTTTCATTCTCTTTGTAGATTTTATAAGTTTTGCATATCAACGCACCATGCAATAACTCGCATATGGAACTCACTATCATAGATGAAGAAGTCACACATGGATGATAAGGTGCACCTCTTATGTATGTGCATTATAACTGGGAAAAAGGGGAATTTTTAATTTCCAGTAAATATTTAAAATATTATTCTTGCATTCAGCCAGAATTTGAGAGACGTATAGTTTGCATATATTGCTTTTTATGCTTAAAGGAAGGACTAAAATAGTTTTTAATGCAAATCAAAATAAAACATTGGGATTATAGTGCGAGCGAGGAAATGGGATATCTAAATTACGTTCAAAGAGCATCATTAGAAAAGCCCTGTCAGTGCTTCCATGGTGAAGATGAAGTTGGCTCAGTCAGCCATGATTGTTATTGATAGTTGAACCCTGACATTTATCCGTCACCCTATCAAAGCGTTGACCTATTGATTGCCATTAGTTTAGCTCAAGGTTTGTTCACCGTAACCACTGAACCTGAAGGAGATCAATACACTTCAAACAGAGTGCTTGTCAGATCATCAAACAGCATCTGAAACCCCCGCTGTCACTCCTTTCCCACCGGGGACTAGCAAAAAAAAATGATAACTTTTTGAATCAACATTCTGACCATCACAGCCACTTCACTCAGCCAGTGGCCTGATGTGTGGGGGAGAGAAAGTAGGCAGGATTTAAACTGCTTTGTTAAGCTCTCTTTTTATTCGGAACAACTACTGATATCAATTGTTGTTGTACAAATGGGTGCAACAACATAAATTGCAAGGATACTTTACCTCTATGACAGTGAGAAAGGGTGTGGGTGTTTGGGACAAAGATGAACAATTTTGCCTTCAGATGTGGTAAAACAACACATCTTACAAATGAGTTTGTTTCAAGCATACTCCAATACAATTTTTTAATTTGGCTGACATATTATTTCTAATTTCTTGTTCAAGTTAACCTGTTACAGTATATGTAAAAACGGTGGGAATACCATACTCAGATCTCAAATCACCATCTGTGCAGAATGTTTCCAAATGGGCAACCAGCTGCATGGAAGGTTTCTGAGAA